ACATTCTTTCCATTTCATCTCTCACATGAAAATTGGAAACATAGTCCAGATCAGGGATCTGTAACCTTTTCTGTAAAGGAGCATATTAAAAATATTTTCAGCTCTGTGACCTCTGTCGTAATTACTCAATTATTCTTTCAACTATGGAAAGCAGCCATAGATAATTTCCAAAGTAATGGATGTGGCTGTGTTCCAAAAAAAACCCCTTTTTTCCAGTAAAACTGTTTTATAAAAAATAGGCATTTGGCCATAGTTTGCTGACCCATTGGACAATAACTGGAAATGACTTAAATGCATTAATCTTTTTCATTTCTCTTGACTCTCTCATTGGGGAGATAGTGAATAAAACATTAAGAGAAGCATTTAGAATTGGAACCAGAGATATCAATATGAACTCATGATTTTTTAAAAAACATGCATAGATATAGAAATAAATATAAGTGTATATATATGTGGGCTCGTACACATACATATATTTATAGGTTCTATCCCCTGAGATGGCCTAAAAGTAGCGACATCGGTTTCTAATACATTCTCCAATAAAAGTAACAAGCTCATTGCAGAAATGGCTGATTCTAGGGCTGGCTGAGGGAATCACGAGATGACTCTGAAGCATCTTGTGTTGCCAGAAAGTAAGGATGTGCTCATAAAGCTAAAGGTAGGGCCCTAGGAAAGGCCCAGAGCCAACCTGAGAGAACTTGCAGTGGCCCAACCTGGAGCAATAGGAGCAGCAAAAATAACAATAGTATGGAATTATAATTCCTGGGATAAAATAAAGACCCACAAAACCATAATGATATGAACAAAATACTGAATAAATAGAGGGAGAAGGGGCAGCTCATCCTTATAGAAGAATTGCAATTAATACATGTACAAGGAATGATAGAAATAGGAAACTGGTGTTAGAACACCACAATAATAATTGTGGGCAAGGTCTATGGATGAATGCTAAAATTAGTGGACAAAAGCTTGAGAAACTTGTTTTAAAGAATCTGCCTCCCCTCATATTTGTTAATAACAAGGGGAAAAAGGTAACTCTACAGTGAAGAAACCTGGCAGACATTATTTTAACCAAGCCATCAAGGCTAACATCTCCAGTAAAAAGATGTACCTACAGCACCTACTCCTGATACGATGCACTGGGAAGGGCACAGTCTCTACAATGTTCTTCCCAAGAGTGCACGACCTCATTCAAACTCTGAGAAAACATCAGACAAGCTGAAGTGAGAGACAGTCTCCAACGTGACTTGCCAATATTCTTCAAAAGTGTTAAGGTCATGAAAGGCAAGGAAAGACAGGGAAACTCACAGTTTAGAGCGATGCCTCTAAGGCAAGGTTGGGTCTAGGATTGGATTCTGGAACAGAGACAAGCGTCAGTAGTGGGAACATTGGTTTAAGTCTGCACTTTAGTTAATGGTATTGTGTTAACATTAGTTTTTAAATTTTGACTATTGTACTGTGGTTATATAAGATGCTAACATTGGGGAAAATGGATGAAGGTTATACTTACACCATCTTTGCAAGTTTTCCATCTGTCTGAAATTAAGTTAAAAAAGAGAAGTCTTTAGGTTGATCTACTTCATTGTTTATATTTTGACTTGGTTTAGTTTATTTTGTAGTGTTCAGACATGGGTAGTAGTTTAGTGGAAAAATGTGGATCATGACCCCCAAAACAAACTGTCTTAGGGGCTGTCAGAATAGTTCTATTTCCCCTCTGCACCACACAACTATTTATAGCCTTTTGATTTTGAGGTTACAATGTGAGCAATAGCTTCCACATAGGTTTCTGAGCAGTTGCTGCATAAAAGTGCATAGACTTTGCACTCAGAAAGATATGAATTAAATCACATTTCTGCTGGTTAATCAGCTGTGTGATGTTGATCAAGTTATTAAGCATCTTTCTCTGTCCTGATTGTTAAAACAGATAACAATACCTACATGTAGGGTTGATATGGGAATTATAGAAAAGATATGCAAATGTTTAATAAATGGTATATCCTGAGTACTCGGTATGTGTTATTTTTACTAATTACTATTATTACTATGTGTTGGCTAGGTGAGGCAATTGCATGAGGAAATAAGGCCATGGTTAGCAAGTTAAAAACTAGAAATGCTAATAACTTCACTTAAAGGCAGGATGATCTTTCAGAGAGATGAGGGAAAGTAAGCCTTGGCTCATTAGAAAAATAGGCTCAAGGGAAAAGATATTCTGATTTGGGAGTTTTAAACAGAAATTGATTGACCAGCATTTTTTTTTAAAGTATTTCATGTACTCTTCTCAATGGAAAATAAAAACCAATGAATTATTTGGTTAGAAAACTAGTCAACAGAGAAAATCTGATTAGTTAGAAAAGCTGAAATGGAACTTACCTCTGCTATGGGAATTGGTGGTTTGCCTACAGGCCTTCACAACTTGGTTTATGGAAAACCATTGTGGAATATTTAATATTTAGCATTCTCACATTTGGAACACCATGTGTTTGACAAGATGTCTTATGCACCATATGCTCTGAGATGGGTGAGGACTGGGTCAGTAAATGATGACTATCTTTTTCTCTTTTAATGCTAAGGACCCAGAATTTCCATTACTTAAAAAAAAAATTAA